GTGGTATTTATGTAACCAAGTAACGCGTGTGATTTTTGTCACTTGGACACTGTTCAGACTTTGCTTCTGCCTATAGCCAGGATTACAAGGGTGGGAGAGGAGGAGAGTGCTTCTATGTTTTAGTCCCATAGTCTAAGGGTTAGGGCACTGGCCAGGAAGTACAAGACCTTGGTTCTAGGTCCCCCTCAACCAGCGGGGTTTGAATTTAACGAGGCTGAAGTTGGTTGCTTATTCCTGGTTCCCTATTCCTTATTCCCAGTTCCTTACTCCTTATTCCTGGTTCCTTTACAAAGCTAATAAGGACCCAATAAAAGCTTGTTATTAATGAATTACAAATCCTAAAGAGAGAATTTCCTTATGTAAAATAATATCGCACATCAAGTACAGAGCCCTAAATGAAGCTCAGATTAGGATGTGATTATAGGGCAAAATACTTCTTAGCCCACCCCAGACTTCCTCTCGATGCCACCTGGGGACTGTCCCAAAGAACCCTGACCACAGTCCTGCCCGGCCCAAAGCATGGTTTGGCCATGCCAGGCTGCCAACTGATAGCCCCTATGCCCGCTCTACTAAGTATAATGGCTCGAATAAGGAACTTGTTTTTGGGCTGGGATTATACTTAGAAATCCTTTTTGGGCCACTCTGTGACACACCTCTGTGCCACCAGGGAACTCTGCTGGGCATCTCTGACAAGAGACTTGCCTGGCCCAAAACACAGTTTGTCTCTGCCAGGGTGCTAACTGACAGCACCCCAGCCACTGTGCTAAATATATGGACCTAAATAATGTCCTCTCCCCTCCAGCGCTTCGAGTCTGACCCCATGTCCCTTCCCCACTTTCTGATCCGAGCCCAGTCCCCTCCTTCCTCCCACCACTTCAGTTGGATCCCACTCCCACCCCCTCCCCGCTGCTTCAGGTCTGACCCCGCTCCCCTCCTCCCTCCCCAGCCACTTTGGGTCTGCCTGTCTCCCATATCCCCCTCGCTGCCGGTTATTCTGGGGGGCATCTAGGATGGGCAGCCACTGCAATCCCCCATTTGCCCTCAGGCAGGGAGGCGGGGAGCCCCCGG